AAGTGATTGGCCCATTGGATGACAGATAGATCACCCACAAAGGGAAAGCGAAGTATAGAGTACTTAGAAAATTGAAAGGTGTGGTAGGGGCTGCTGAGATTCTCTTCTAAGGGCTTCTATCAGATGGATATAGAATTCTGGGTTGGAAAGTCCAGAAGTCCAAAACACTGCTTCACTATCTTTCTGGTTTCTACAATTGTAAATTCACATATAACATTGATTCTTAACCTTTGTACAAAAATGACTTTTTTCCTATTCCGAATGGTCTAAAATTTCCTAATAAAAGAGCCTGGTATCTTATTTTCTGACAATTTACTTTTCAAAAGCACACACACATAAAGAACAGCATATAAACAACTTAAGAACTCAAAACTTACCATGTAAGCCAGGAATCAACAAACTAAAGTAAAAAGGCCAAGGTGGTCTCCTGCCTGTTTCAGTAAATATACCTTTGTTGGAACATGGCCACACCTATGAGTTTATCTATAGGTCAAAGCCCAGTGCAACAAAGATAGTGTGGGCTCCAGAGTCAAATATTACTTGGTACTTCACAGAAAAAGTTGTTGAACCCTAACCTAGCTTGAAACAAAAAACAGTCAGTGGAATATTTGTCTAGCAAGCATAGGACATATATTCTAATCTCAACGCTGGGGAAAAAAAAAAAGTTAAAACTGCCAGGTGCCAGTGGTTCATGCTTGTAATCCTAGCTACTCAGGAGGCTGAGACCTCAGGACCTTGACTTTCCTATTTATACTTCCCATGTATCTATACTCTGCTTTTATCAGTTGAGATGGCATTTGTGCATTGGCCTGGAACTATGATTCTGCCAATCTCACTCTCGTGGGGCTTGAACTCTGGGCCTGGGCACCGTCCCTCAGCTCTTCAGCTCAAGGCTAGCGCTCTACCACTTGAGCTAGTGCCACTTCCGGTTTTCTGAGTGTTTATTGGAGATAAGAGTTTCACAGACTTTCCTGCCCGGGCTGGCTTTGAACCTCGATCCTCAGATCTCAGCCTCCTGAGTAGCTAGGATTACAGGCGTGAACCTCCGGCACCCGGCTTACATTTAAACTTTTGATCCACTTAGAATTTCATTTTGCCTGAGAAGGTTGTCCATTCTTTACAAATACTCCTGTGCCTTCTCTATTGCTTTTTTTTAAAAAAACAAACAAGAAACTCACGTATAAATGGTCTATTTCTAGGTACTCATAGTCTATTCTATTAGTCAGTTTGTAGTCTGACAGATGTTATGGCCAGCAGCTTTATTACTACAGCTTTATAAGAAGTCTAAATACATTTTGGTGATTCTCTCTCTCTCTGTCTCTCTCTCTCTCACACACACACACATATTATTTATTATTTACTTACTTTTTGTTAGTTATTTCTTGCTGGTCCCAGGGTTTAACTCAGGGCCTGGGCGTTGTCCCTGTCTCTTTGGTGCTCAAGGCTAGAGGTCTACCACTTGAGCCACAGCTCTACTTCCAGCTTTTTCTGAGTAGTTTATTGGAGATAAGAGTCTCATGGAGGGGCTGGGAAGGTGGCTCAGTGGTAGAGTGCTTGCCTTGCATGCATGAGACCCTGGGTTCAATTCCTCAGCATCACATAAGCAGAAAAAGCTGGAAGTGGTGCTGTGGCTCTAGTGATAGAGCCCTAGCCTTGAGCTGAAGAGCTGAGGGACAGCACCCAGGCCCAGAGTTCAGAGTTCACGACCAACAACAACAACAACAACAAAAAAAAAGAGTCTCATGGACTTTCTTGCCCAGGATGGCTTTGAACAGCGATCTCAGATCTTAGCCTCTTGAATAGCTAGGACTATAGGCATGACTAACCAGTGCCTAGCTTATATACTAATTTTAAAATTAGCTTGCTGGTTACTATGTCAAACCCCATTGGGATTGGAAATGAAATTGTAGTCAATAAATGTATATATCATTTGAATGAAATGGCATCTTCAAAATACGGAAATCTGCCAATTTATGAACACGGCCACATTTTTTTCTCATCTATTAACCACTAGAGACATTTTCACTTTAATAGAAGTTATATTAATAGATTTGCAACACATTTCTAGACTCAACCTATCTTAGTTACTATGAGACTTTAAAGATATTTGCTTCCATTTTGTCTAAGATTTTAAAGCCTACAATAACAAGTAATATTGACTAGCAATTTTCCTTACTTCGACTACCTCTTTGTGTGGCTGAATGTCAATCTTATACAAGTGGTACACAAAAAGCTAGGGAGTAATCCCTGTTTGCTCTAGTCTTGGGTTTTTACCTAAGATTTAAATGATCTGTTCCTTTAATTGTCTGATAAATTTATCTATAAAGTTATGTGGGTTGACTGTTTTATCTAGACAAATATATTAAAATGTGGACTCAAGTTCTATAAATTACATGATTATTTAATTTTCTATTTCTTTTTGAGTCAATTTTGATAAATTACATTATTCTGTTGATTACACTTTAGTTTTTAAATACTAGCATAAAGTTGGTAACAATATTTTCTTACTAATTTTAAAATCTCTGCTACATCTGTTCCTTAAATTTGTTCCTTTATTTCATTTTAGTTTGGGGAAGGAACAGAAATAACTTTGTATGTTTTTCTAGTACATTTATATGAACAAAACTACACAGAAGGTACACTCTTCCTTTTCTGTAAAGATAGAGAAAAATAATGGAATCCGATAAAGCTGGTGTAGTGAGAATAAAATGATGAAATATGTAATGTGTTTAGGATAGTGAGTGGCACATGTTAAGGGCCCAAAGCACCATTACAATACATTTGATTCTACTGAGATGAGTTTTGTTCTGATGAAGCTTTATAATTCAAAGCAGCAGTGACTAATATAAAATATGCCCTCATTTCATTCAGCCTTTTAAAAAGGCAATGATAAATGTGACAGGCAATATTTCCATTCTGAAACTCAGTCTGAATCTTCATGTCCTAAGATTGTTAACTACACAAGTAAATTACATAAAATAGAATGCAAAACAATACACAAAGGTGAGTATATTATAATCTGTCAGGCTTTTGTCACCCACTGTGTGTTATGAGCCTTGAACATAAAAGGGAATCAAAAATAGTGAAATTATAATGAAAATCTAAAGAAAATTCAAGAGTCTCACACAAGTTCCACTATATGGTATCTTTTATTCATGGGTAAATACAACTAATTTTTGCCATCTTTTTTTTTGAATGCCAATACTGGGTCTTGAACTGGGGTCCTGGGCACTGTCCTCTACCTTCGTCATTCAAGGCTAGTGCTCTACCATTTAAGTCACAGCTCTGTTTCTGGCTTTTTAGTAGTTAGAGATAGATCAGGAATCTTATAGATTTTCCTGCTCAGGCTGTAATCCTGAACTGTAATCCTAAAATCTTAGCCACTTGAGTAGCTAGGATTACAAGCATGAGCCACCAGCATTAGTTGTTTCAACCATCTTTAGTAGAAGGATGACGCATTCTACTCCCAGACAATTTCTGCATCTGTATTACTAACAACAACGAATTTGAAAACAGATATTGAATGTGTACTGAGGTCTGTGATTTAATTTGAAACACATGAAACATAAGATTTAATTTTTTAAAAGCCAGGGGTGTAATTTAGCTGTAGACAGTTTGGCTAATAAGCAAGAGTCTCTAGGTCAAATTCTCAGCAATGAAAAAATAAATTAATTAAAAATAAATAATTAAAAAATAAAAACTACAGTAAGAAAGACTGGTAAATGGTAAAAACAATGTGCAGATGGATAAATATGTAATAAAGTAACCTCAGTTAATTATTATTGGTCAAAAATAGATGTAATTATATTAATTTTCACTATAAAGTTATTTAAAATTTTCTAGAATGATTGAGAATTTTTATGACAAAAATAGGGAAAAACAAACTATACTTGTCAAGTAAAAGAAAACTAAAAGAAATGTGAAAAACATGTTATTTATATATAAAAATTATTACACTATATAGTTTATTATAATTTATAAAAAATATTAAAACTCTTTTTGATAAAGAGGAAAAGATATTAATAAGATACACAGGAAGTAAACTCATGGAAAATAGTTACTTCTACCAAAGAATTAAAGAAAATAAAAAATGCTACTTTGACTACTTTATTAGAAAAAATACACACATGATTGAGGAAAGGCTGAAGTAAAAGTGTTCCACTAGGGCTGGGAAGGTGGCTCAGTGGTAGAGTGCTTGTCTTGCATGCATAAGACTGTGGGTTCGATTCCACAGCACCACATAAGCAGAAAAAGCCAGAAGTGGCACTGTTGCTCAAGTGGTAGAGTGCTATCCTTGATCTGAAAAGCTGAGGGACAGCCTTCAAGCCCAGAGTTCAGGCCCCACAACCAACAACAACAAAAAAGTGTTCCACTATACACAGCTGGCAACATTCACTGGAAAACACACCTGGTTGGGGAAGTAATCTGGCATCTCTAAGTCATGGTGCTCATTAGGTTCTTAGACCTGGTGCTCCCACTCCTTAGAGTATCAGCTATATCAGTCAAAAGAAGCTAAGAGATGATTGTTGCAATATTATCTACTAGAAATTAACTTGCAACAACCTAAAAACAGTCAGAGGAAATAAATTTTAGTAATGGTGATATAGCTATATAATGGAACATGGTGTACACATTAAAAAAAAAGGGGGGGGCTGTGGCATAAATGGTAGAGTACCTGTGTATCATGTGCAAGACCTTGAATCCAAGTCCCAACACTGACACACACACATAAAAGACAGTAATGGAAGCTTAGGTAGAACGAAGTACAGTGCTCACAACACATACTCAAAAGGAAAACTATTTATAATTGATTGTGAGACTATAAAAATATGTGCAATGTGCTTTGACACTATAAAGCAGCATGAATAATGAATGAAAATGATGTATTACCATATGAGGGGAATGTGGCTAATTCGTTTTCCTAAAATTTCTTTAATCTTGCTGCTAAGTCCTTCTATTAGAGTGTATCACTGAGATGCCTGTGTGCACACTGCACTCACCGTGCTCAGCTTGCTGCAGGCAAGGAGGATCCGGCGCTCATACAGCATGCTGGCATACAGATGTAGCATGTTGTTGACATCCACAGCCACAAAATATTCTGTCAGATTTCTCTAAGAAAAAGAAGAAGGCAAGGTTTGTGACTGCTTTTGTTTGTTCTTATTACAAGCAGTACCTAATAACAACACAAAAAACAGAAAATAATAAGAAAGCACACACTCTTCTTCCTCTGTCCTGTTCTTTCTAACTAAATCACACTCATGTATAAAGTCATGAATTTTTGCAAAGTTGGAAGACAACTTGGAGATGAGCAGCAGCCTGAGCAAATGCACTTTTGTGTGGTGATTATAGTTTACAACACAAGGTCACATATAATACCATGTTTGCTTTTCATGTGAGTCTGAAAGGTGAGAGAAACAGGAATTTTATAGTCTCACAAATGAGGAAACCAAGGTGCAGGGAGATTTGCCAAGATCAAATGGTCTAATAAGCAATGAAGACAGGACTGCTGCTCAGATCTTCCAGCTTGAGGCCCTAGAAGTTTCCCAAGGTACTATGTCATGTAAAAGAAAGCACCCAGAGACCAAAATGCTTTCCAGACAGGACTCATTTCTATCCAGCAGATACCAGCTTCCAAACCCAAGCATGTACTTGTCCTATCCACACTGCCAGTGTCCACGCTTCTCCATAGCTTACAGTCTCCAAAATTGCTCTCCCATAATTAAAGCTACTTTAGAGTTACAACTTCCAATATTCCTCACTTAAAAAAAAAAAGAGACAAATAGTAGCCAGTTGTGACAAAGCAGTTAAAACACTGCTTTTGTCTCTGGCCTGATCTTCATTCTTTAATTAGTATTATAGATTGGTATTCTTTAAATTTTAGGAAAAAATTCAATGTGTTTGGCTTCTACAATCCCTTCTATAACCACTTGACTTTAATAATACACATGAATATGCTAATTTCTTCAATGTTGCAGGTTTTCAATGCCTCACAATATAATCCTCTGCAAATGAAAGAGGGGGGGGGGATGGAACACTATTGCCAGGGGCTATAGTTTATAATGATTGAAGTTCTATAACCCATAATTTGAAGTAAGCCAGGTAGATTTTACATGCAAAATAATGTAAAGTGCTTTTCAACAACATTATGGCTTGTGAGTTAAGAATAAGCACTTATCTTATGATTTATGATTGTTTGACTGGAGTTACCAGGTTAACCACCAACCTTTATAAATAAAGACCATGGGAAATAGAAGCTCCATATACTAACTACCTTATCAAGTGCCAGGTACTGTATCAGGCACTCTATGCAACCTCATGCAATCATCACAAAAATCCTGTAGGCATTATTCTTTTCAATACAGATTAAGATACTGGTGACATTCAGTAATTACAAGTCAGACCTGACTTTAAAGCCAATATATTTTCCCTTAAGCCTGTCCATATGAAATATTTGCAACATCTATATGTAGAAGGTTTTACAGAGATTCACTTAATACTGAAACCACTTCTTAGACACAATACTCTCCCTACTTAAAGATGAAAAGTAGGCACAGACAAGTGATATTTGACAAAGGTGAATTACGTGTCCAATACACAATTCAATCTTACGTTTTTAAATGCCCTCTAAACTATAGGTAAAACTAATATTCAGAAAAAAGTACTGAGTGTGTGAAAAAACAAGACTAAGATTGCTTTTAAAAATTACTGCTACCTCATTTACTGAGCAACCCTATGGACTAGGCAATAGATAACTGACTTGTGTTCTTTCTGCCATAGAATAGGCATTACTAGTCTACTCTTGTTTTTATTTTGTTTTTGTTTTTGCCAGTCCTGGGACTTGTGAACTCAGGGCCTGGGTTCTGTCCCTGAGCTTCTTTTGCTCAAGGCTAGTACTCTACCACTTGAGCCACAGCACCACTTCCAGTTTTTTTTAAATGTATGTAGTACTGAAGAATCGAACCCAGAGCTTCATGCATCCTAGGCAAGCACTCTAACACTGAGCCATATTCCCAGCCCATTATGTCCACTCTTTAGATGGGAAAACTGAGGCTCAGGAAGATTAGTAATCTAAGATTATTCAGCTAGAAAAGGTAGCAGTTAGGGTTCAAAACCAGGTTTCCTGAATCCACAACTCAAATGTTAACATCATGCCAACATACCTCTTAACAAATACAATGGCAGAATGGAACACATACCAAAGGCAGTTAGAATTGGGTAAGAAGTATCTCTTCTGCCTGTGCGCAGAGAGCACTAAAGTTAATGTCAGGGTGGGGTTCGTGCTGGAGACAGTGACATGGCAGAGCATTTCTCACCAACAAAAATATAAGACCCTCAGCTGAGCATTTCAGCAAAAGCTTAACTGCTGATGAATTACATGAATTTTTCTTTTAAGAGAGGATGGAAGTAAAAAGAAAATAGAAATGAGGAGCTTAAAGAAGGCCAGAAAGCCCATTAGCACTTTTGACAGATCCAAAGATAACTCTGAAGCCACCAAAACGTGGCCTCAAGAGTCTGCCAAGAAGTTTCACGCTGGGTAGAAATATGTTACACAGCTTGTCGTCCAAATAGGGAGACACAGCGTCAGAGACAAATCCTGTGCCTTATTTTGGTGGGAGAAAAAAAAAAAATCACAAGGATACTTTTGTGGATGGCAAAGGGAACATTTCCCAAATAAAAACACTACTTGTCTGGGTAGGCCCCCCATTCTCTGTCAGGACCTGAGCAACTCAGGTACCTATTCCAGAAACTCTACACAGGTATGTTAAAAATATGTAACATTTAGCCAAATTCTTTCTAAACTGTCATGTACTTTTTTTGGTATTTCTCATCCCATCTGTGCTGATTACCAAGATATTTGTGTCTAAACAGAAGCTGTCTTTCTTTCTTATCTGCTTCCTCCCCTGCTTCTTTCCTTCTGGGATGCCACCCGCCAGAGCGGATGGGACTGCCAGCAGCCCCAGCCTAGGAACCTCACTCAGCCAGCCTTGGGAACACTAGTGGGGCAGGGAGGTCCTGAAGCACTTGAAGCTCCTGGGCCAGAGAAAGCCCCCTGGAGACAGGAACCTCCTCCTGTGGCTGTAAAGAATTCAGTTGCTAGAGCCAAGCCTTTTCAGACTTGCCCTGCTCTTTTCCACACCCAGGGCCTTCACATTTGCTATTTCTTCCTAGAATGCTTTTCTCTGCCCCCTCAACTACTTGTCAAAAACCAGCCCCAATGACACCTCCTCCTGGAAGGCTTCCTGGCCTCTTCATTTGCCAACCTCTCCTTTGCGTTTCCATAGCAATTTGTCCCTATCTTACAATAACTCCATTTTAAGTATGTTTTTCCAGTAGGCTAAGTCCTTTTGCTAAAATTACATATCCCATCATCTAGTAGTTGGTGAAAGAATGAATCAGTGAGTGGAGGAAGCAACTGACTGAAGACTAGGGGCATAGTATAAACATAGCCTGGTAGAGACAGTGCAGTGTATGTACCAGGAGGAACACAGAATTTGACTTTAGAAAATCAGGCTCTGAGTCTGATCAAGTAATCAACTACTTGATAATGGTGAAGGACACACAAATAAGTGGCCCTGGGGACTGTCCAGAGTCAAGAAAAATAGCTGGGGTTGAGACTGGAGGTTAAGAAGGGGCTTGTCAATGTATCTGTGGCTACTGATGAGAAACGTAAACAAACTGGTGGTCTGTTAATCAGGAAACAGGCAGGAAAAGGGGAGTGCCCAGAGAAGCAAGTAGTCAGTTCAGAACCAGGGCCATCAGATTTCTCCTATGGGTAACATCAGAGCACAGGAGAAGAGTTTCTTCCATGGCAGACTATCCTTGGTCAATACAATAGCCAGGCCAGGTGCAGTGGCTCATGTCTGTAATCCCAGCTATTTGGTAGGAAAACAAGGAAGGATCACAGACTGGGCAAAGGATCAGACTGGGCAAAAAAATGAGATATTATCTCAAATAACAGGCTAGATGCCAGTGGCTCAGACCAATAATACTAGATACTCAGGAGGCTGAGATTGAAAATCACAGTTCGAAGCCAGCCTAGGCAAGAAAAATCCAAGACTCTTACCTCCAGTTTTAATCACCAAAAACCTGAAAATGGAGCTGGGCTCAAGTGATAGAATGCCAGCCTTAAGTGAAAAAGCTAAGGGACAGTGTCCTGGTTCTGAGTTCAAGCCCCAGTACTAGAACAAAAACAAATAAAAAAGCCAAGCTGAGCCTGGCCAGGCAGGACTAGGCTTATGGTTCACCCAGTAGGTAGGGAGGTAGAGGTAGGGAGATCAAAGTCCAGGCTGCCCCAGGTTAAAAACAAAAAACAAAAAAAAAACAAACAAAAAAAAACCCCATAAGACCTTGTATGAAAGAACAATAGCTATCAGAAGCAAAAAAAGGCTAGAGGAATACTTCAATTGGTAGAATGCAAGCACAAGGGCATGAGTTCAAACTCTAGTGCTACTAAAAAATAAAATAAAAAAAGGATATATTTGAATTTATAAGAGAAACAAAGCACGCTCTCTTAGCACGTTCCCTTAGTGGACTAAGTCCTTGACCTCCAGTTTCTGCCTCCTATAACCAGATAATGAACACGAACACACACACACACACACACACACACACACACACACACACACACACACACACACACACACACACACACACACACACACACACACACACACACACACACACACACACACACACACACACACACACACACACACGCTTTCAACTTCTCCTGTGTGCCTAGTGCTATTCTGGGACCCAAGACTACAAAAATAAAGTCCCATTTTCCAGAGCTTCATCTGGGGGGGGGGGGGGAAGGACTATCAGACCCAGAAACCCAGTATGCAAAGCACTGTGGTCCAGGGATGACAGAGAAAAGCAGGCTCACTTTGCTGGTTGATGCACAGGAGTAAAGACTTATTTTACACAGAAACAGAGATAGAAATAGGGAGGTGAGAGGAGACACAAGCAGGTGAATGGAGGAAAAGGCAGAGCGAACTGAGTGCAGCAAGGCTCCCTCCCTCTTAGGGAGCCTAGATTCTGCCCACATTCTGCCAGTAACAGGGAGCCATTAAAGGAGCAAGACATGATCGTATTTGTGTTTCAGAAAGGT